GCGCGCCTCGCTAAAACTCGCTCTTTTACAGGTGTTTAAAATATGATCTCTTAGGCGAGACGAGCCGATGTAAATTGTCCTATTTTATGCTTAATGTTATGACTTATGTGGCACAAATAAAATATATGGATATTCCCATCTTATGAAGTGTTTTTACGTGCAATAGGAATGCAATAAAATAAAAAATACATCGTGAGAGAGAATATGGATATCGTATGTGAAATAGATTCTTAATAAACATGTTTGTAGGTTTACCCTTTATTCCTTCCTATGTTTTTCGAGACAGAAAAGGAATCATGAATTATGTTTGTAGCATTGCCCATGATTTATATCAGGCTTTTTGTCATTATTAATTTGATGAGTGTATATTTACTAGCAATTTCCCACGTACTCAGGAACCGATTTTCTTGTATAAGTTGATCAATTTGCAAAATGATACACGGTACTGATATGACCTAATGATACAAATCTTTGAACATTTTATAAAACCACTTCTCGGTATGGTACATTCTTACATTTTATATCGTGACATAATACAGGGTCGGAAAGTCCCCATGGTTCATCGGGCGTTACGTGAGAGCGATAAAGAAAGTCATAGAAATCCGTGCGATAGAGAAAGATGGCTATAATGAAGGCGTCTAATAGTCACCGCCCATTTCGCCCTTCCACAGATAAGATCCACTTATAGCCGTCTTTCTCTATCGCACGGATTTCTATGACTTACTTTATCGCTCTCACGTAACGGCCGATGAACCATGGGGACTTTCCGACCCTGTATATATTATTGTCATAATATTCTTGAAAAATAAAAATTACCATTGTTACACTTTTCCATCAAACTTTTATCGAATATAAACTGAGCAAAAAAATTAAGGGAGCAGAGAAATTTCCAATTTTTTTTAGTGATATTTAAAAGGTTGTAACTTCGTTAATATTGGTCCTATCGAGAAAAACAAAAAAGCATCTTGAAGCCTGAAGCTTTTAGTTTTGAAATATTGAGATGAAAATTTTTTTTGAGCATCATCACTCGGCGCAATCAAAAGAAATAATGCAAGGCAATTTATTTTTTCAAAACTACCCATGGGCTCAAAAAAATTTTATCTGGCTTAATTGATCCCAGGGTGATCTAGCCTGGTTCCTCATCTTCAATTTGTTTTTATTTTATTTTCTATTTATCGGCTATTGATTGAAAACTAATACAGCGAAGGTGGGTTTTGGAAACTTGAATCAATCCTCTTCAAGGGCCTTTTGCTATGTAATTTTTTTATAAAATTTTGACGATTCAGGAAAGAAAAACCTACCCGATCGATTTCAAAATTTACAGGCCTCATGGGCATGTATTGAGCAAAAAAACCTACAAACATTGGTACTTTTCGCAATATGTATTTGCAAAGTAGTCGTTGATTTTCCAAACCAGCAAAAATCATTTTTTGCACTTTTTCAAATTAATACTGAGTATAAAAAATATTTTTCAAACATACCAAAAGGATTAATTCAAGTTTCCAAAACCCACCAGGATTCCAAAACTAGAATCTTCAAGCTTCGAGTTACTTTTTTTGTTTTTCTCGATACGACCATTATTAACGAAGTTACAGCCTTTCAAAAACCACTAAAAAAAAATTTGGAAATTTTTCTGTTTCCTTAATTTTTTTGCTGAGGGTATTTGACGAGTGGATGTATGATGTTCCTCAGCGATTATAAAACATAGTTCACAGGTGCTACATTGGGCATTCTATAAACAGTAGACATTTTTTTGTTACAAATATAATTTTACATAAAATATAATCGTTAAGAATGCAAGACAAATCATTGGCGAAATTTTGAATTTTCTGGGGTATAACAATGCGTAAATTTCTACGCCATAGAACTTTCTTTTTAATGTTTGAATTATATTTGAAATTATATTTGCAATAAAAAATTCAAAAAATTCCTATTATTGTAAAACAAATTATTCAGGAGTCTTTATTTTTTATTTATTCTATTCTACAACTGGACAAATTTTCCTTGAGCACTGAAATGGCAAATGAAAAGAGAACGCACTTAATATAGAATGAGAGGAAAATGCAGGCAGCAAGTAATTAATCCCTAATCCCCACTCCACTACTTTGCTACTGCGCATCCTATATTCATAGCTCAAGGGAACTTATATTACCTGAATTTTAGTTTATTTTGTACTAACATTTCTTATTTTAAGAATTGAAATACAGTTGTGAATAGAATTTTAAACTAATCAATGACGTCGTAATTTCCCTGTTCTTAATGTCCAAATATATCCGTTACTGGTTAATATAACTGTATTCAAACTCATGTGAAATTTAGTTAATACAAATTTCATTAAACTATGTTAAATATCCTTAAAGATATGCGCCGATATCATATTTTTCAACATCTCCTCTACTGAAAACTAAGCCGTTTAAGTCCATAGAAACTTTTTTCCTACAACGATGCAAAGAATCTTTATTTTGGGAATGTACTTACAGAAGAAGCATTCTGTATTTTGATGGGACATTGTAACAGTAAACGTTTTAACAATGTTACAGTAACCCACACTATTTTTCGTCTAATAGTACAGTCATTGAAGCTTTTCACCTCCGAATTCTTTGAAACTGAACCGATCGACTTGAAATTTGGCAGATAGTTAGAAAAAAGGTCAATTAGTGACATAGCGCTGATTGAAGCTTCCACTCTGTTGAGGGTTGACGTTCTCGGGGGTGGAAATTTTTTTTCAAAAATAACGCTGGAAATCGATATATGTAGAATCAAATTTTGAGCAAAAAATATTCGAAGAATTTTTTCGAGAAATCAATAGTTTTTTAGTTATTGAAAACTTGGAATTTTGAGTGAAAAAAAAAACACTTTCAAAAGTATTTTTCGCGAATAACTCAAAAACTATGCATTTTATTAAAAAAGTGTAATGAACAAAAATGTGGCTTATAAATAAACAAAGAAAATCGTTTTTTAAAAAGTGTTGTACGTCCTATACAAAGCGAAATATGGTTAGTGGAAGGGGACTTGTTTTGGGGGGAATACTCGAATCGATGTACGTCAAATAACGGAAAAAATATTAATTTTACGTGTATAACGCTCCAGGAGTTTTTTGTAGTACTCAAAAAGACCTTCAAAATGAGCATTTATAAAAGTTAATTAGAGCAAAATTGAAGGAGTTATCGTCGAAAACAGATGGGTTGCTCATATTTTTTAAGGAAAAATGAGCAGTAAACGCTGTACCATTTCCATCAGAATTAAAATTAATCGTAGACCCTTTACAATTAGTTTTGTTTTAGTGTTTTTCATCCGATCCTGAAGTTAGACCGGTTTAGAATGCGTATTTTTTGAATAATGTACGGTAAAAGTTGAAAACGTATTTTTCATTATTCAAAAAAAATTGCCTTATTTATATAATAACTCTGAAACTATGAAAGATACGTAAAAAATGATAGACAACAAAAATGTAGCTTTTTTTCAACAAATATTTTGCCTTTCTTTATTCCTATATATTAAAAAATAAAGGAGATATCGCCGCTTGAAGTATCCATTTTAGTGAAAAAACGACCTGTCTCGAGCCCTTCGATCCTTTCCCTTTAAAAAACGAAGGACTTAAAAGGTTTTATATGCAAACGATCTTACAGCTCTTGAAATTATCTTTAAAATGCTTTTTTTGTAGGATACTATAGCTTCAAAATTAACCGAGTTATGGTAAAAAAAACAATGACATTTTTTCGGAGCAAAATAGGCTTTCTCATTTTTATATATTATATATATTATACAAATAAAATAAGTAAAAAAAAATTGTGTGATTATTTATATGCAGCGTAGCAATTTTTTTGATTGATTATATTTAAAAATCGATTATAATAAAAATATTTTACATTAATGTTGGTAAAAGGGTAGTTTATAAGAGTTGAAAATGGCAAAAGTAAAATATTCTTTCATAAACAATATAAGGGAATTTTTATTTTAAATTATTGCACAATTATAGCATTCCAAGATTTAAAACGTAATTTTTTTTATATTTTTTTTAACACAGGGGTGATTTATAAGGGTTGAAAAGTGTTATGAGATACATATTCTTTCATAAGCAATGAGGGAATTTTTATTTTAAATAATTGCACCGATAAAGCATTCCAAGCTTTTAAAAAGTAATTTTTTATCATTTTTGTCAATACAGGGGTGGTTTTTAGGGGTTGATAGGGAAAAATTCTTCTATTAGCTATAAGGTAACTTTTATTTTAAATAATTGCACGATTTAATCATTCCAAATCTTTAAAAAGTAATTTTTTACCATTATTTTTTGCATTGAGGTAGTTTTTAAGGGTTAAATAAAGGGTCGAAAAGATCAAATATGCTTAAAACATGTTCGAGAACATGGAAAATTATGTAATCTTTGTGCTTAAACAAGATTTTTAGTCAATAAAATGCTTAAAACTTAATTTTTTCAATTTTTTTCACTTAGGGGTAGTTTTTACCCCTAAAAAACAAAAAGCGTCAATCGGGCTTATGTCACTTTTGAACTTGAGCCTAAAATGAGCCTTATTCTAAATTTTCATGCAAATCCATGCAGTTTCAAAGAATTCGGAGGTTACAGCTGATTTTCAGCTTCAATGACTGTACTATAAATATTTGTAAAAAGTAGTAGACTCAATGACCACAATTAACCAAATCTTTCCAACGTTGTAGGTGCTATTAAATTAGTAATTAAGTAATTAGTAATTTGTAGCCAAACTCCTTGCATCCGCATTGCGCATACCACACACGTTGCTTCACTGTTTTAATTAGTACGCCTGGGGAAATTATTCTGACAGTGACAGAATAATTACGCTTTGAAAATTATGTTTTCCAACTCTTACACGAGTTAATTTTCCACTAGAAAAAAAAAACGTTCCACTTCGCAGGTTACACAATTGTTACCCTTGTATTTGACAAGGGATGGATTTTTTTATGTGAAATTGGTTTCGTGTCTTTTTAAGCAAATTATAATTGGATATTTGTTTTCATTTCAGAGACTGAGTAACGACCACATATGTTACTTTCTTTACCAAATCCTTCGGGGGTTGAAATATATACACTCGGCGAACGTACTTCACAGAGACTTGAAACCTAGCAACCTACTTTTGAACACTACCTGTGACCTCAAGGTAAGTATCGAGTGCAAGTGTCACTTTATTGTTTGTCCTTACTCGATGTTTTAAAATATGATATTGATACATCGTTTTAAGGTGTTATTATTGGAGATGTAAAATTTTTACTAGACAGGGTGAGTCATAATTAGGTGTAAGAAATTTAACCGAAACAAAATAATTTGTCAAATAAACCTATCCGTTTTTGTCAGTGGCTTATTAGAAGGATAAATGACCTTCGACTTTAACTGATGACTTCCACGTTCAGAAAGTTAAAAATCTGGTGCGTGCAAATCGTCAATAATTGACTATCAAGAGAAACTACAGAAGAAGTTTGATGACATCAAAGCAAATTCGTTACAGACTAAAAGCCAATTCAAATGAAGTTATCCAGGACTACTTCGCGAAATAGACACACTGTGAATTGTGTAAATAAGCAAGGGGAGAATTTGAAAAAGACCAGGATCAATATTGTATAAAATTAAGTTTAAAAAAATAAAGTTTGGTTATTTTCTGAACAAACCTCGTATGAGGCGGAATCTCTGTACTATCCTGACTAGAATTGCAAAAACTCAATAATCACATGAGCTTCAATGCCCTGTATCTTTATGAGGAGGTATTTTGACCAATTACTTTGCTTTTGGCGAGAAGTTCCTGTTCATTTTTTTACACCTAGTTATGACTCACCCTGTGTCTTACGTGTCTACGGAGGTTCTATACAGTAAAAGATTTTGCCTGTTCAATTTCACTTTGGTATAGCATTCGAAAGTTATAAGCAAAACGACCATTTCATGTCGCACAAATGATTTTATTCACGTCAAAAGTCAGAACATTAAGTTTATTCAAGGTGGCTTCAGTTGACATTCCTTGTAATTTGGAGTCCTATGGTAATGTCAGATAATGTCCGAAAGTTTACCAAAGTTCTGAATGCAAGCGCTGAATATATCGTAGATAATGTACTTGTAGAGATTGCATCTAAAGTGCATTTCACTCTAAGGACTTTACGTAGCTTCACGCAGCTTCTGGAGGCGGTTTGCGAATTACCATACCCCCGATGAGATAAACGTTAAAGTACTCGACTACACTTTAATAAAATGAGGCAGGAGTTTATTGTTAAACACGTTTAATATTTAACTGAATCTCATCGATGGAACCACGTTTTACATTATGTTATTTACAAAGTCAATCAAATTTTTATTTATAAATTCATATTTTTTTTTTTTAATTCGGATCAGAAATTTACAAACGATCTAACTGATTCTTCTATGCTTCATTTACTATCCTGCACCAGTTAATATGAAGAAAATATTCCTACTCGAGTAAGTAGACATGAATACAGCTTAAGGCGGGTCCACATTAGTAAAATTTTACGTTGTGCGTTGAATATAGAATTGGCAGAAATATTTACGCCTCAAATGTGACATTTTTATCATAATTTACGTGCGTTTTGATCAACACGAGCCAGAGTTTTTGTTTGTTTATATACAGATCCAGAATATTAAATAATAAAATTCTCAAAATTCCTCGCAGACGTACGTATATAATTTTTATAATGACTGGTATTTTCATCTAACGAAGTATATTCTCAACTTGCGGCACAAAAATAATATTAAAAGAAGAATACCTATGTGGTTGCATATCTTTTACATACCTACCTAGATTGTTTGACTTTTTTTAATTATTTGTTTAATATAGTTTTTGTGACTCTAAACTATGTAAATCTTGTGTAAGAAATTGGAATCCAGCCTCGGATTGTCCGTATAATCTAATTTCTTTAAACGAAACAAAATATTTAACGAAAATCGTGGGTCTAAGTCCCCTCAAAGTTTAGAAAAAACAGATATCAGAAATGAATGTAGGGGAGTCGAAATACTCATAAAATTTTATTCTAGATATTGTTTTTACTCAAAAATTTTGACAATGAAAACTGAAAATATGAAAAACGATAAAAATATTACTATGCATGTTGTTGCATAGTAATATTTGCATTCAAATTTGGCTTCTGATTGCCTCTAGAACAAGCAAGTTTTTATTAAAAATTTCCTTGCTTTGATTTTTATCATAACTCTCGAAAAAAAGAACTCAAAGATCGCAAAAACAAAAATGTGACTGTGTGTGTACGAGTGTCAAATTTGTGATATGCACCGAGTAAATTTTTTTGTTCACACGAGTCGGAACCTCCCTTAATTCTTAATACTGTAACTTAAAAACCATAGGTATTTGCGTGAATTTGTTGTATTCATTTGTAATCCAGTATCCACTATTAAAATTTGTCCAAGCATTTTTTTACACCCTCTAGATCCCCCAAGCACTTATGATCTATAGCAAATAACAAATTTTTTTCTTGTTATGACGTTTTCCAGTTAATAATAATGTATTTAGCGTGTTTCAAAACTATATCACATCCTCTTAGGAGTCATTCCTTTCATGAAAATAAGACGAAAAGTTTATACAGGTATGTATGTATACAGGGTGTTTCAGAAAGATCTTCCGTAAATAAGTCCGACGGTGATAGTCCGACAAAAAATAAGAATTTTTTGTCTTATGAACTATATGTCTATCTCCTCTTGTTTTCGAGATACAGAGCGACAAAATAAAATTTTTTAAATATAATTTTTTCGAAAATTTCCAAACGGTGCGAAATATTTTTATGAAATTTGGTATTCCGGGGTTTTGTTTTTAAGGATGCAAAATACGCTGGTCTAATTATGTATTGTATATTTCATAGAGGGCGCTAGTTATGCTACATTCGTATTACATTTTAAGTTCTAATTTTGTTGAGGTTAGGTTAGGAGGCATTCGCAATTTCTAATGTACAATTTTATTTTCTAAAAATAATGTACTCTTGTTAGAACTTCTTAATGTGGACGGTTTTCGAGAAAAAAGGCTTTTAATTGAACTCTTACAATATTACGTAGTAGAAAATAAGTGACTTTTCTCAAAGTAGGCTTATGTCAAAACTTATTGATGGATGTCTCATAAACAACGCATACATTCTTAGTAATATTTTAAACACTAATTAACTTTATATCAACATTTTACTGACTAATTAGTCATTACTAACTACAGTCACTAACAGTCACTTGTACATTAGAAATTGGAGCCCGAATGGTAAAAAACCTAATCTTAAAAAAATTTAAACCTAAAATGTAATAGGAATGTAGCGAAACTAGCGCCCTCTATGAAATATCCAAAAAATAATTAGACCAGCGTATTTGGCGTCCTTAAAAACCCCGAAATACCAAATTTTATAAAAATATTTCGCACCGTTTGGATATTTTCGTGAAGATTCCATTTAAAAAATTTTATTTTGTCGCTCTGTATCTCGAAAACAAGAGATGTCGTACTATCACCCCCTGAATTTACGGGAGGTCTTTCTGAAACACCCTGTATATATGTATATTCTTCTTTATCGGGATATGCGAAGTTAAATATTTCGAGAAAAATAAAAAAAGAATTGTTACTCGGGACTTATTGCGAATTAATTATTGAAAATTATAATTACACAATATATTTTTGTGCTTATATATCATAGTTTGGACCAGAACTAACTGTGTTTTGCCTCCACCAATGGCATAGAACAGGGTGTATACTGTTATTTAAGTAAAAAAAAATAGCACCCACTGTAGTTGATTGAATATTTTAAATGGCCAGCTAATTACTAAAAACATTTTTGAGCAATTGTATCTTTAATCGTTTTCGAGTTCGTCTCACTTATAAGTAACATCCGAGATATGATTTATTTGGTAATAATTAATCGAAATCATCGAAATCAGTTCCGGGTAAAACAATTCTTGTTTTATTTTTTCGCAACTATATCTTGATAGGAAAGCATTTGTATACTTATGTTTATACAAACTTATCGTCTTATTTTCATGAGAACAATACGCTTTTAAGAGAATGCGGTATAGTTTTGAATAAAAAAAAAAAATTAAATTGTTTCAGATTTGTGATTTCGGTCTAGCAAGGGTAGCAGATCCAGACCACGACCACACAGGGTTCCTCACAGAGTACGTGGCCACGAGATGGTACAGGGCGCCTGAGATCATGCTTAATTCGAAGGTAAAATCATTTTGAACAAATTTAAATTACTATTTACGTCCTACGCCACATCGTAAGCAAACATTTCGAAACCTAGCGAGAACAGTTGAGTTCTGTGTAAACAGAATTCCTATTGTTCCAGTCGAATACGTCGACAAAAATTTGTTTTGAAACAAGCGCGGGGGTTTTCCTGTAATTTTTCACGCACGCTCCGTTCCGATCTTAGTTTGCCTTCGGTACGACGCAATGCAGCTAATTTTAACTTTCTGTTTACTTTTGTGTTTGCTTTGTGCTGCAGGGCTACACAAAATCGATAGATATATGGTCGGTGGGATGCATTTTGGCGGAGATGCTGGCCAACAGGCCGATCTTCCCCGGTAAACACTATTTGGACCAGCTGAACCACATACTCGGGGTGCTGGGATCCCCCTCGCAAGAAGACCTCGACTGCATCATCAATGAAAAAGTAAGTAGATAATATCACTAGATGCAAATTTCAGTAACTTTGTGCCCTTAAAGTAACTATGAAAGTATAGAGGTGACAATAAATCCGTGTTTCTCTAATTTCAATCATTTTAAGGATATCTTAAAAAATTTTGAAAATATCATATTTGAACTTTTATATAATTATTATAATTTTCAATATTTTTGTTATCGTATGACATATATGTTATAAAAAGTGGTTTTAAATTGTCACTTAATATTTTCAGAATAAACCGTACATAAAAAATAAAGGTACGTGTTTACAGGGCGTTCCGAATTGCACATGCCAAACTTTACCTGGTGACAGAACACTTCAAAATAAAAAAGTTAATTCAACTATGTTTGTAGAACGATTCGTTTTCAAAATTGAGTGTTGAAGTTTAAAAAAAATTACATTTATTTAAATATCTCTTAAAATGTAGATTGATAAAACTTGAGATATTGACTTAATTAATTATAGGCAACCAGTGGTGGAAATTCTGGGGGACATAAAACTAAGAAACGCAAAGTTTTGAAGTCATTGAATATTTGTATACAGGATGAGCTATAATAATAAAAAATGCCGTTATTTTCCAATAATAATAAATATTAAATATATTTGTTACAATTAACAAAGGTTAAGTATATTTGTTAATTGTAACAAAACAAAATATGCACACAGAAAAAAAAACGATTACCTAATCACAGTACATTAAGTGCACTTAATTCCGGTTAATATCTTTTATTATGTTCGATGCCATTTTTAGAAAATTATTTCTTTAAACTCAAAATAAGTTTTTGACACAGTTGAATAAATAATAAATAAATAATAAAAACGATTCACAAAAAAATTATTGTAGTAGGAATTTTAAATTTTTTGAGTTATAATCCCTCAGAAAATTTAAAGTTCCTATATACAGTGCTTTCGAAAAGTAAATAAATTCATTATTTTTTAAATTGAGAAGTTTTCGAAAAAATCCCCTGGCACGTCGATTTTGTTTTTAAAAAAGGCACTTTTTGACATACGACCCATATTTGTGACGTCATCGACAATTTTTTTAAATAGCAACCCCCAATTTTGACCATGCCATTTGAAAGAGCGTGTCATTCTACATACACAGATCATGAAAAATTATGGTGTTACATAACAAAAATTTCAAGAAAATAATGTTTGAAGATTTTAAAATTTAATTTTCACAATACTGAAAATGATAATGATTATGTAAAAATCGACTAAATGGTACACCTCCCCATTATGCAACACCTGTCTGTGCTTATTTAGATGAGCTGTTCCCGAATCGTTGGATAGGGAGAAGGGGGCCGATTGAGTGGCCAGCCAGATCGCCTGATTTGACACCCCTAGATTATTTCTTGTCGGGATACTTAAAAAGCAAAGTATACGTTACTAGACCGGTTAATTTAGAAGATTTAAAAGCAAGAATTCGTCACAAGATACATCATAACCTCCTGAAGTTATTGATAATGTTCAAAAAGAATTTATTAATCGTCTTGGCTACTGTCAGGCAGCCAACAGTGCACAATTTGAACATTTAATTTAGTCGATTTTTACATAATCATTATCATTTTCAGTATTGTGAAAATTAAATTTTAAAATCTTCAAACATTATTTTCTTGAAATTTTTGTTATGTGACACCATAATTTTTCATCATCTGTGTATGTAGAATGACACGCTCTTTCAAATGGCATGGTCAAAATTAGGGGTTGCTATTTAAAAAATTGTCGATGACGTCATATCTCGAACAACGATGACGTCACAAATATGGGTCGTGTGTCAAAAAGTGCCTTTTTTAAAAACAAAATCGACGTGCCAGGGGATTTTTTCGAAAACTTCTCAATTTAAAAAATAATGAATTTATTCGTTACTTTTCGAAAGCACTGTACACTGATGTTTTAATACTTTCTAGAACTCCACTGAATACTACTTATAAATTTTAATTTCTGACAAAAAATTTCAACATTTTTTGAATGAAAAATGCCTTGTTTTCTAAATAAACTGGAAGATATTTTTTTTTGCAGGAACCATACAATGCAATTGCAATACATGCAATTTCCGAAAAAATCAGTGATATCTAAATTCCGGGTTTCTTGGTGAAGATATGTTCCAGCTCTTTGCCACTAACTAGTTTACAGATTTGTATATAAACCAGAGATATAGATATCTCTGATATAAACCCAGTGAATTTTTATTCATAATTAAAGTCATCCCAAATTTTATCAATCTACATCAAACGGGAAATATTTAAATAAATGCAATTCACTTATTTTGAGGTGTTCTATCATTAGGTATACTTTGATATGTGCAATTCCGAACACTCTGTATAAACTTCTTTCTAAAAATGGACAATAAAAATTATAAATGAATTAAAAGGTAAGTATATTTTTTGCGGTATTTTAAAAGTCCAATGAGGAATATTATTAACATTTTAAATTTACCCGACTTTCAAAAGAATATTTAAAATTAATTATGGATAATCTTGAGAACGCTTTAAATTTATTTATTTATAGCACAATTAAAATAGATACCTATTTGTTTTATTTGAAATTGTCAAAATGTCTGATATTTTAAAGTACATATTTGCAATCAATGTGATGATAGTTTAATTTCAAGTGCACCTTCATACATATACCTGAATTCCTCGAAGACCGTTTACTTCATTAAAATTAAACAAGAATACATTTTGCCCCTAGTAGTCCAGAAACCAATATTTATTTAAATAGTTTGGAATAAAGTAAACATTAAAAAGTTGGTGATGAAATAGTGACAATCACTATCTAACACTTATGAAACGTGGAATAATACGACATAAATTAGGTGTCATAATATAAAGTTTAAAGTATGAATAAGATATTTTGAAAAACTTTTAAGATGTTGCGAAAAACATTATATCAACCATCCCTCTTTAAAGGTGTGTATCTTATTATTCATTTTTAGTTTAAATGAAGAGTTGCTGTGTATAATTTTTTGATGTACTACTTTCTTAAAAATATCTGATAAGACAACCATTATTTTTTTCTGACATAATTTAACAACTGAATATTATTAAATGTCTTCATAGGCACGAAGTTACCTGCAGTCACTACCGTACAAACCGAAAGTCCCATGGGTCAAGTTATATCCCAATGCCGATCCCAAAGCCCTGGACCTTCTGGACAAAATGTTAACGTTCAATCCACACAAGAGGATAGGGGTGGAGGACGCCTTAGCACACCCATACTTAGAACAGTATTATGATCCAGCTGATGAGGTACGACGAAATTTAAACAATAAGAGAACGAATGCTTCATGTTATCTATTTTTTTAGCCTGTTGCAGAGACACCATTTAGATTCGACACAGAGTTGGACGACCTGCCCAAGGACCACTTAAAGAGGTTGATATTTGAGGAGACGTTACTCTTCAAACAGCGGCAACACTCGGACAGTCACCAAGCGATGGCTACTTCATAGTTATTTGAGATAAGTGTGTAAGAGGAAAGTGATTTAAATTCAGATTTACACGTTTAGGTTCCCATTTACGAGATATTATTTAATGAGGTGAAGGCAAAATTAAGCTTTGTCGGTTTCTAGATTTTAAAATTAGTATTGCTTTTTTATGAGACCGTTCGTTTTATGGAGCGTTTCCTTTACCCGATTTGTAACGGTTAAACGAAACGGCCCCGCCGTTATTGTATATGTAATTGATTATAGATTGTGTATATTATGTTTTGTAAATATTGTTTTATTAAATTAATTTTTACATGAAGTACAGTATACAATAGATTATAGGTTAAGTGAACACAAGAAACAGATATCTATTTTTGAAATATTAGTTTTTCTAAAATAAGTAAAATGTGGTTGTGTCAAATGCACTAATATTAATTCTACACGCAACTTATCCCTTTATTACTAATCTCAAATTATGTATTTAATGGTGCCATTCCAACAAGTCGGTAACTAACTTTTACTACTGCGTTTATTGTCGTAACTTTTAATTAATTACGCAGGGGAGGGGGCTGGTTCAGAAACACGCCTAAATGGAATAGTAATCTGTTCGAATTATACCTTCATAATCGTGTAAATAAAAGGAAGTACAAATCTAGGGTAAAAACTTTTTTGGAATTATATTTGGGAGGGATGAATATTTTTGAGATGCGAAAAGATGTTACGTTTCCGAGCTATCCCCACCGCAAAAACTTTAATTGAGAACTGGAAAGTGTGACAAATGAATGGAACACAGCAGCTGTAGTTGGTGAAAATTGATGTGGTCGGATTTTTATGAAGAAACGTGGGACCCATACCGTTTTTTAGTTATCTTGGAAAGGGTTACACATATTTACAGTATATTTTTTTTCGTAATCAACGGATAGATATTTTCTTTTCACAAAACTTTAATTTTTGTTAAAGTATGAAGTTTGAAAAAATATAATGTTAGTGTAAAATTAAAGGTCAAATAAGTTTGCTTGAATTTATTTGATCGTGAAAGTTTATTTTGTGGGTCCTAAAAAACGATGTGGGCCCCGTGCTTCATTATATGTACAGGGTGTTCAAAAAGTTTGGATCCCCCTCTACCTCAGAAAATACTGCTCAAACAAAAAATGATTAGGATAAAAGTTGCAGGGTTTTGAGTGAACAATCCAACGGTGACCTTGACAATGTCCTTGAAGATCATTTAGAGGTCAAGATGAAAATTTTAAATGGAATCGTATACTTTTGACCCCGGAAATGGTAAGAGCGGAAAGTTTTACGTTTGATTGTGACCTTGACCATGACCTTCAAGGTCATTTAGAGGTCAACCTGAAAATTTTTAATGGAACTGTATATTTTTGACTCCGGAAATGGAAAAAATGGAAATTTTACGTTCGGATATGACCTTGATCATGACCTTCAAGGTCGTTTACAGGTCAAGTCGATTTTTAATAAATGACCCGATATTCTTCACTCTTTTCATTTCCGGGATCAAAAGTATTATTCCATTTAAAATTTTCAACTTGACCTCTAAATGACCTTGAAAGTCATGGTCAAGGTGACATTCGAACGTAAAATTTTTCGCTCATACCATTTCCGGGGTCAAAAGTATACGGTTCCATTTAAAATTTTCAACTTGACCTCTAAATAACCTTCAAGGTCATGGTCAAGGTCACCGTTGGATTGCTCACTCAAAACCCTGCAACTTTAGTCCTAATCATTTTTTGTTTGAGCAGTATTTTCTGAGATAGAGGGGGAAGGTTCCAAACTTTTTGAACACCCTGTATATGTAATTCAATTTTCATTAGCCTCCACCGACAGAAAACAATGCCAACAAATCGAATGACTAGAAAATGGCTATTTTTTTTATCTGCAACTGATACTTGAACCGTACCGTCAATTAATACTGACCGAACTGAGAGATCAGTTTATAGTTGCCAACTACCAACATTACAAAACCGACATAAATGTCAATTTTTAAGACATTCTTGCAGTATAATTACTACATATTCTTTTTCGGTCCAGTTCTCACTTACTATTTGCAAATGCGCTATCCAAATTTAATAACAAGCTAAATAAACTGTTATTGTATGAATAACAGTTACTAATATTTTACAAACAGTATTTTGAAATTTTCTTTTATTTCATAACATATCTACATTTTTTAGTAAGTACTTTTCGATACTTTAAAAGAAGCGACATACCTAGTCCTTTCGACTAATCTTAATGTTAGTGAAGATGTATTATACATTAGTTACGATGATGAAAATTTCCAAGAAGTATTAAGTTGATATTAATTGAATAGACCGAGGTGTTTTGAATGAAAGGGTGTATTTAGTTTATAATTGCTTTAAATTTTTTTACAAATGTGGATTTCGATTGGTTTCTGAAAAAGATTTTAGATTCTAAATTCAAACGGTGCGATGGGGGCACAATTCAGCCAACGCTTTGCACTGGATATTTAAATATCCGCTGACGCAAGAAACAAGCTATCACTAGAATTATTATTGTCTGCTATACACGCATTTTTACTTCATTTAATTGGTTTCATGTCGTTTATAAGAAAAAATTACTTACCATTATCAATACCACAATACGCTGTCCTCATTTTCTCAGCAAAATAAAATCGCAGCTCTGAGTTGTGGTCCCGTACACCTTTAAAAAATGTTGTGCTCAAATCCATGATATTAATTTAGGTGTATAAATATAATTAAAAAAATTACTTAACATATGTATCGATCCGCACATGTGAATGGAAATATCAAAACTTATTATATGGAATGCTATTTAACTAACACTTTTACAAAATAGGTGTAATAATAAAAGTACATAATATTTTGTCTGTGATTATTCACTTATTCGTTTTAATGGTAATCTTGTTGTACCTCCTTGTAGTAGTGTTAAGGTAATTTTTTTGTTAATTCAATGAATGTTTCATCTTCACACAGTGATGCGTGTAATAACTGTTTTATTATTATTGATAAAATAAAAATCACATTGTATACTGGGTCTGCAAAGTCGAGATGTGAATAATAAGGTGAATAGGATGTTAATAATAAAAAAAAAGTACACTTTATCCATGGAATAATTTGGTAGTACTTCCAGTTTTTCAACATATTTAGGTGATAATAACGATAAACATAATCTACCCCTTAGCCTAACCGCAAAACATATGCCAGATCGGGGTGGTTTATTATTATCCTCTAGGCCGCATCGGATATATTATAATAATGGGATGATGAATAAATTCTCGCTGTTTTTTTTGTGAAAATTAATGTTTTATTTAAAAAAAATTAGTAAAAAACACGTTGCTGAAAGTATTGTCCATCACTAGCCAGTACTTTTTCCCATCTTTCTGATAGCATTTTAATTCTACATCGGAAAAGTGATCACGTCTTTTGGGGCTATCCAAGAGTTGACCCGTTTTTTAGTATCTTCATAATAATGGAAGTGCTGCTCACCCCGAACAATCGGAACAAGTGATAATCGGAGGGGCAATGTATGGTAAATATAACGGATGGGGTAGGAATCCCATTTAAGCGTTTCCAAGTAGGTTTTTCACCAGTTTTGCAACATGTGGCTGTGGGCGTTATCATGCTGTTCGTATAGTGGCCATTTTTCCTTTAATTCTTGGCTCAAATGCTTCAATTGTAGTCGATAACAAACTGCTATGATGGTTTCATACGGTTTGAGCAGTTTATATTAATCTACACCCAGCTGATCCCATCAAATGCAGAACAGAAGCTTAGAACCATGGATATTCATGACCGAGCTTATCACATGATTTGTACACTTACGATTATCGTAACGTATCCATTTTTAATCACCAGTTACAGAAAACGATGCAGAAAACCTTTCCTTTTCTGTCATTAAAGCAGCTGTTCACATGTGCATAGATGCCGTTTGACGTCTCTCAGCTTTAACTCGTACGGGACCCAATGTCCTTGCTTTTGAATCATTCTTAATGCTTTCAAACATTTCATAACTGTTGTATGATCAACTCCTAATGATTCTCCACATTCAGCTAGTGTCTGACATGTGTCTTCATGAAGTAATGCCTCCAATTCTTCTTCTTTAAACTGTTTTGGTGCGCCTGAGCGTTCTTCAACATCAAAATCTAAACTGATCTCTATATATATTGTTTCCGACAGATCATGGTCGCCGTGTCTCAACAAACAAGAATTTTGTGTGCTTCAGCTCCAGATTACTTTTAAATGAAGTAGTGCAGTAAAATTCCCCGCAAATACTCCTTTTTCCGCACAAAATTTGACTATGAAAAAATAATAGTTTACACTTCAGCAAAATAACACACCAAATTTCAAGCTTGCTTGTAGCAATTCTTTATAGGTGCGTTACGCCTTTAAACTACATGCTAGAAGTTCTGATAATGCCATCTATTGGAAAACAACGAGACCTTATTCAACGTCCCATTATGTAACTAAAACTATATTTTCATTTCTAAAATAATTTATTTAGTCTTCCAGTTTGGAAATTGTTTCGAGATTTCCCAGTTTTTGTTGATACTTTTCTCATACAGACTCTTGCTAAATAAAATTAGAAGAGTCTATTCTATAGTGGCAGAAAAAGAATTTTAGACACATAAATCAGTGCATAAAGTAGGCTGATGTGTCACCAAAGCATGAAATAAATATTTTATCTTTTTTTATAACTTCAAACACATCGAAAACTGTTGTAAATTCGACTTACAATTTATCAAAAATCATACCAGATAGGGTCTTGAAGTAGCAACGGTTTTATACAGTGATTTATGTGCAATTCAAACTTAAAACAATTCAAAATTGATCGAATAGCTTAGAAATAAATTTTTAGACCTTAATGTCAAACTGTTGGAGAAAGTTAAGTATTTTTCTCTAAAAATTGGAATCAAACACATCAAGCAAATAGTTTCTGGTGGAATTTTTTTCATTGTCGAAATAAGTTATGAAAACTGGCAGTGATTTGAGTTATATTAGAATTGTATTAATAACTAAAATAATCTTTAATTAGAAATTAACAAAAAATGTCTTATCAAGTGTTTCCAAATTGAGCAATGGGCAATATCGGTAATATTTTCACAAAATAATCACTGTGATTTTATAAGCATCCCTGGTATAACAAACAATATTTTTATATAATATTACAAATATATCAATGCAAAATAAATAAGTGTAGTCGAGTTTTAAAGTTTAGCAATGATGTGGTTGTTATAATAAAGGCCTAAACTTTTTTCTTTCTATTAATGTTGTTAAATAATACTGTTATAGTGTGTTACATTCTTATAGTATAGTCGTCAAATTATGTAGTTCTTGATAAGTGTACAATAAAAGTTTACCTGATATATGTCGTTTTTTTCCCATTCATAGTGCGTTTAAACTAAGTTTTTTAATACTAACCTAAAATACTACTATAACCACGAACAGTATAAAGTTAGTCACTTTAAAGTGTTTCAGAAACATTTGAAGAACTTTACCAAGAAACTCAAATTAAAATAGGAGCATGTCTTATATTTAATATTTTCCATTGTGTCCCTGCCTTTATACAGAATTACAGAAGCCATCGATGATTGACAAGCAGAATTTAACCTTCTTTTCTTCTTTTACTATGACATGATTGGCGGTTATTCTGGAAAATGCTACCGTTACGCCTCTTTCACACGGCCGGTATTTTGCCGATCGGTATTTAAAACGATCGGCAAAACAACGACTAAAATTTTAAATTACACATAGTTAAATAGAGCTTTACACACAGGAACGTCGCGTTAAGGTCTGACGGTCGGCTACCGACCGGCAAAACAACGTCCGTGTGAAAGAGGCGTTAGCCTATGACATTTGAACACGACAATGCATAAAGCCAGTCTGGGAGACTAGACAAGGAGCACGAACTCATACGTGAAAATTGACAAAATTTGTCCAAGAAATGACAGAAGTTGGGGTGGTGCTAGTGTTCCATGTGTCCCAAGTGAATGTAGCATAATAAATACGAATGAAGTAAGCAAATAACCAATTTTATTTTATAATGAGTTTAGTAGATATATCGGGGAGGTATACTAACCTAAAAACTAGAAGTCAAGTCAATAATTATTACAATTTGTTTTTATAATGGTAAATAAAAAGTTTCGAAAATAATTTAAAGATACATATGGAACACTAGCGCCCTCTTATTTTTGTAAGATTTTTGTTTACTTTACATGGAGTTGGAACTCCTTGTGTAGTCTCCATGGAGCCAGTCGTCAATTTACTTCTGTCTTCTGTCCTTGGAAAACAGGCAACAAGAATAAATGAAAATTGACATTTTTACCTGTCTACGTCAATAACATTTCTAACCTAAAATAAGCATTCTTGTTATTATCTTAATAAAACCAGTTAAATGAGCCGGTGATAAGCAATTTACCACATTTGATACCTCGCCATTACTTAAATCTCAAAATGATATTGAGAAAATCTAGAAATAGAATCAATCTACATTTATATTGCTTGTTAAGTTTGTTATTACTATTAGCAGCTGAAGTCAAATGTGGTGGACAACTAATATATGCGATAAATTGTGGAGGAGAAGCGCACTTGGACGCTTACGGAATAAGGTATGAAAGAGATCCACTACATGGAAGAATTGGCATTGCCTCTGACTATGGCAAAAGATTACTTATCGGCAGAGTGCCTCCAAACGATTATATATTATATCAGACAGAAAGATATCATACGAATACCTTTGGCTATGATGTTCCTGTCAATTCCGATGGCGATTATGTTCTTGTTTTGAAATTTTGTGAAGTTTATTTTAATGCGCCAGATCAGAAAGTGTTCGATGTAGTTCTTAATGGGGACCATACGATAGTTTCCGATTTGGATATATTTGAAAAGGTTGGAAGAGGGGTTGCGCACGATGAGTATGTTCCATTTAGGATATCCAAAGGTAATTATGTGAATAACACTGAGCTTTAATAGGACATTCTAATTTTTGTAAATCATCACTTACCTGTTTACTTGATTTTAAATTCTATATTTCGAAAATTAATTGTTGGTTTTGTTTTTGAAGGTCGTTTATTTGTTAATGGGGAAGAATCGGACATAAAAGGTGGTCGAATTCGTGTGGAGTTCATCAAGGGTTACAAAGACAACCCCAAAATCAATGCAATGTATGTTATAAAGGGTAATATGGAGGACGTACCAAAACTGCCACCTATCCCTATGGAGCCCAGTCCTGTAGAGCAGGCTAAAGAGGAACCAGAGGTCATTCCCAAATCGAGAAGACCGAGTGGCCCTAAACAACCTGATCCATATTCCATGGACGATTCCTCACTCATGTTACCTATTTTTATAGCTATTGGAGCGTTCATTCCTTTACTGTTTTGTTTATGCAAATTGTGATGAAATTTTAGGTAATAAGTTGAGGTGTACCTATGATAGTTTTTATAATTTTTCAAGCTAAATTCAGTGGGTTAATGGCATATTTCAATGCACAAAGTTGGAAATGGTTAGTGAAATCTGTAGTTAATTTACAGTATTATCGTTTTTGAGAGAGACGTACTTATTGTTTTATTAATTTAATTGTATTTACCTAAGTGGCGTTCGATAGGTTGCATAGTGATTTTTTACTAAGAGTTTTAATTTGTTGTTGAGGAAACTTAGATAAATTATTAAGAAAAGACTTTTTAAGAATAAATAAATGATTTATTTATTACTGCCTCGTTTTTTTGAAATCTTTTCTTAATGCAAAAAGGAAACATTAAATAGGTATTTCTTTAATATTTTTAATATTAAAAAAGGAAAGGTACATAGTAAGATATCCCAGTAGAGAAATACACGTTTATTATATTTTTCAAACAATTGCAACATTTCAAATAAATACGTACCTATTTCATAATTTTATATAAAAGTTCATATACCTACAATCAATATTTTACATTTAGATATGTGAAAAGCAACATGTATAAACTGGATATGTGAATAAAGTACAGACTGCTGTTTGTACATATTTTTTTTTAGATTCATTAATAACACTAAGTAAATTTAAACTTGCCAAATAGATATCAAATAATGTATGAGGTGTGTATTTTAACAATTCATTCAGCTTTCATTTAATTTGAAACGCATCAATAATATTTTAATTTGATTCAGTTCTAGTTCTCCAAAAGTTTCGACCGTTTTATGATAATAACCCTGGCCTTACATGAAACTACACTCTTTTTTACCAGAAACTAACAAATAAAAATTACAACTATGTATGTATTTATTTATTCCTACAACAGAAATGCGATTCCTAAAAATACATAAGCGTTTATACTTTTCCCCTCAGCAACGTGTAGTTTTTTGTAAGACAGAAGTTTTTGTTATCCGGAAGCTTATCTGAAGGAATTCCTAACGGCGACGGAAACCGTGAGGAAGATATCCCGTGATTTATTTTAAGAACAGACGATGTCGATAATTATAATCGTTCAAATCGCACCAGCTATAAATGCGCGGGTGATTTGATTTAGCGTCAACCATAGATTTTAGGAAGATAAAGATCAGACACATATATTGATTACTGAGTATATGCTGTCAAATTTCCCACTTCTCGCACCTAGTACTATGACTATATTATTTTGCAATTAAACAGCTCAGTTGTGCAGTTGTACAATACAATTTTGGCCTTTTTTAACATAATAATTCCCCACCTAAGGCAGCCAATCGTAGAAAACGGCAATTTTTACACAGGTAAGTTGCAGTTTTTGTTACCTCTAACTCTTCCAAAAAAAATAAAAAACTTTAACACCCTGTAAATCGAAAACTAGCATTGGTGGACCCACGTTTATAGGAAAAAAGTCCTATTTTGACCTCAAAAATACGCTCCTAAATTCTTTGTACTGAATTTTGAATCAGCCTGTACATATGTGACAAAGTTTAATTTTTCTTCAACACCCCATTTATTTATATGAAACTGTCCTCATTAATTCTCATCTAGTGATGCAATTTGGCCCATTCTTTATTAGATATTTTGTATTTGCAATAGATATATAGGTATATCGTACAGTTTTTTTTTAATTTGAAAACAAAATTAACAAATTATTATAATTTTTTTGTATTTCTGTATGTTCATTAAATATTTTCCTCAGACGCAGCTTATTTATTTCTTTCACTGTCCTTATTACACGGGATTATCTTTAAACTTACTCTCTTAAAAAAAAAATAATGATTTGTACAACTTTGTACAACAATCTGTGATCCGTAATGTAATTTGTATTTCACAAAATATATTTTATAAATAAATGCAGTAAAACTCATACCTTATTCAAAATTTAAGTACACAACACACACCTCGCACATTAATAGAATTTTTGAGACTGTAGGGCAATTATTCAACGCCGATATAGAAAAAAACGGCGTTAGGTCGAGAAAGCTATATGTGGTGGCAATAAAAACTAGCAGAGAAATCGTCGAATATTTACGAGCGTGTCATTGTTTTTATACAACAAAAACGCTGTTTTTAATGAACAGCCACAATAAAAACCAGCGAGATAATAATTTTTCATCAAATGTAGTAAATTCATTTGTTTTGATTCTACAGGGTGTTTGTAAATAAGTGCGAAATATTTTAGGGGTGGTTGCCGAAGTTATTTTGTGAAAACAAGTTCATATAAACGAAGGTCGAAATATGCTTCGTTTCCGAGATAGGTACAGAGTGTTTAAATTTTAATTGTTTATTTATTTTTATTATTTATTCCAAAGAGCTTTAAAGATATTAACTCGAAATTTGATGGTTGTATTTTATTTATAAATATTGACAGCAACCTACTAGATAAGGTATCAATAGAAATTAAAAATACGCAACTTCCTCAAAAACGGTGCATCCTACGAAAAAAAATTGAGGAGACCAATTTCATTCAGAATTGATGGCGGATTTCCAGAAAAATATCAAAGCGGGAAAAAGTCGGTGGCGTACCATTTTTTTATTAAAAAAAGGTTGTGGCATTCTCGCACGAACGCCACTGGTGCAAGTGGAAATATTCGGATCATCCCAAAAAATGCACATTTAGCCTTTCAAAGCGTTTTTCAAATTTCGAGTCAATATCATTATATAAAAATAAATAAAAAATTAACCTACGTTTATACGAACTTTTTTTCACAAAATAACTTCGGCAACCACCCCCTAAAATATTTCGCACTTTTTTAAAAACACCCTGTATATGTATACATACAGGGTGGCTCAGTAAAACTCGTATTCACCGACTTCAACTGCCGTTGTTTTTTTTATGAAGATAATTAAATACTTAGCCTGATCCGACCACCAAAGTCGTAATTCAAATCGACTAAACAGTTCATCGATTACGTGATATGGACGGACCAGGCACTTAACGACTTTGACGAATCCGACAGTTCTATTAGCGCAGTCTAAAAACTGAACAATTCGAATTTTCAATTCGTAGTAACGGCGATATGGCACAAATATCGATTAAGATAAATTGGAACTTGTTATAATATTTGCGATGGAAAATTGTTTTAATATTTACATTTGAACGTGTTTACATCATCAGTTACTGTAATCCGCAACTGATGGAATGGAATGGTTTTATAAAATTGCGAAATCAAATGGCATACAGGTAGTAAAATAAAGTGTAACAACCAAAGGACCCGTATAAATATTTATGCTTCGATTTTCTGTAGAGATACTAAAAAGCCATAAACTTTACGGGGGGATGACTAGAAAGGAGAAAAATCGTTCAATCGTCAACGTTGTTTCAAATGAACAGGATATGACAGGCCGTCGCCGTCGTGTCAAAATTGAAGGAAATGTATTTTGAAATATTTGCCTATACAGAGTGGTCCGTAATGATTGGGTCATAGAGTATAACTATATATTCTAGGCACCAAAATAATGAGATTAAATATGCTTCAGCAAAATATTACTCGTTTAAGATATACAGGGTGTTAAAGATTGATTTTAGATTTATTATGTATTTCATAAATTTTATTTTATTGTTGCAAATTTGTCGTTGGTTGGATAAAATAAATGTTTAATAAATAATAATCGTCAAAGTCTACTTGGGTTAGTAAATGAATCATGTCGGTAGTGGTCAGAAAGCTCGCTTGTACTAAATGGGGAGGTCTATCGATACAAGTATACCTTTTTCCTTCAAAAATAATAAGTTTTCATAAGTACATAACTAGCGCCCTCTATTGGCAATCTAATATTTGAGTTCAGATTCGGATTTCTCACCATCAAAAACCCCCATTCCCAGTTTTCGAGTTATTTTTTCCAAAATTGTAAAATTTATGAAAATAAATAATTAACTAGTTTTTAACACCCTGTATCTCGTTAAGGCATATTTGACTAAATCTCATTATTTTCGTGCCTAGAATCTATAGTTATTCTATGGCCCAATCTTTACGAACCACCCTGTATAGATATTTGCCTTCGAATCCCTTATTTTTGAGATATAGGAAGTTGAAGCAAAAAATAATTACATCTCTAAATAAAATACAAAATTTGGCGTGATTATTCAATGTGAAAAAATTAAAACAACTCAATTCCTCAAAAATTGACATATAAATCATTCCAAATTTGTGAAGTAAATGCTAAAAATTTTCATGGTAAAAAAATTAAATTTAAAATATAATTTATGTTATCTACATAATTAAATAAATTAGCGTCAAGAAACACATTAAAAAAGAAATGTTAAATTTGTAATGTGCAGTCAATTTAATTTGGTAAAGTGTTTACCGCGGTGGTCATGGTTACCGTCGCGCAGCACTGAAAGACGGAGTATGAGCAGCGAATATTTACTATGCAATTTGGTCTCTGTTTAGTCCGACCGTAAACAAGTAGTAGGTAGCTATTCACAGCTTTGTTTTTTAATAAACGTAACTTGTTCAAATTTTGTTACATACTATTTTTTGTATGTTTTAAAAAAATTGCAAAAGATTAAATTGATTGTTTAATTTGATTTTTTTTCAATACATTTACCAAAATTTTTCCGCCTCCCTGGTATGGAAGTTAAGAGCCGCCACTGCGTATCATCATTACAAGTTGCTGTTCCAAAACGGTAAAAGTTATGCAGAAAGGTCAAGAAAAAAATTTTTTTTTTAAATACAATGTTCATTTCAAAAGAGATTATTTTTTCAGTGTGTTGCGGCTTCACTGCAAAATTATTACTATACCGGGTGTTCTCAAAGTTGAGTCATTTATTTTAACAGCTGGCAGAGCTCATAAAAAGTCGATTTACCAAAAATCATTTATATACCTACACACAGTCACATAAAAAAAAGTTGTCTGGGCTTTTCATGCAACATATTATGTTATCCGTAGTATTTTTGTCTCCCGATCACGAATCCGGTGTCAGAATTGACCTATCACAACACACGAATTTCTTAACCTCAAAAAACAGATCAAAAATAGCAAAATTTCATGAAGTGCTAGGAAAAATACAACATTTATTTTTCTATATTCAAATGTTCATTTATATGGTTAAAACCCCGCTGAACGCGAATCCGTGGTCAGAATTGATGGTTCTTTTTTAATCTTAAAAGAAACGGGTCAATTAAGGTCAGATATCACGAATTTTAAAAAAAATAACAGATTCGCGCCAAGTTTGGTATACGGGGGTTTTCGGGGTCGCTGATGACGGATCCGAAGTCAATTTTACAAAATTCAAAATGGCGGATCCAAGATGACCGACCAAATTGTCAAAATATAATCCATTCGCGCTAAATTTGGTATACGGGAGTTTTCGGGAAATGATCACGGATCCGAGGTGAATTTTGCAAAATTCAAGATGGAGGATTCAAGATGGCTGAACAAATTTTCAAAAATTAACATTCGCGCCAAATTTGGTACAAGGGGGTTTTCAGAGTCGCTGATTCGAGGTCAGAATTGCGAAATCATTTTGTAATATTATTGTTTACTTTATAACCTGAGTACCCAATCATGTTTTAACCTTCTTAAAGTACTTAGGTACTGATTAAATTTTTAGAAACGAATTTTGTAAATCCGATCTCGGATTCGTGATCAGTGACCCCGAAAACCCCCGTATACCAAATTTGGCGCGAATATGTTATTTTTTGAAAATTCGTGACCTTAATTGACCCGTTGTTTTGAGAGGAAAAACATCAATTCTGACCGCGGATTCACGTTCGGCGGGGTCTTAAACATAATAAATAAATAATCTATCTTATCTATCTATCTATAAATAAACATTTGAATACAAAAAAAATTTTTTTGTATTTTTCCTAGCACTTTTTCTTGAATTTTTGCTATTTTTGACCTGTTTTTTGAGGTTAGGAAATTCCTGTGATGTCATAGCTCAATTCTGACACCGGCTTCGTGATTAGGAGGCAAAAACAGAATATTTTTTGTGGCTGTGTTATTTTAAGAAATTTTAAAACTTAAACATAAAAACATAAATGGTAAACAAATGGAAATAATTTTTGTACAACAATTTTGAACAATTTTTATAGAACAGGTTTTTTATAACTCTCTTCTTCTTTTATGTAAACAATTTTTGGTAAATCAACTTTTTTTACGAGTTCTACCAACTGTTAAAATAAATGACTCACTCAGTATTTAGATTCATTTAAAAAAATATATATTTTTTCATCTCTTTGTTGCAGCAACATGGTTGTTTACTTTTAATCCATTCATAAATTCAAATATCCTTTGCGTAGTTTTTTTTGTAAGTCATTGTATTCAATAGGCAGTAAGACTTGACATAAACACGAGTGCGTGCATATCCTTACCAATTTCCTACTCCACATGCATTTTAGAGAAACCGCTATCAAATTCAAGACACCCAGAAGGACCCTTCAAGAAGAGTACAAGTTACAACAGTGGTACATAAGCCATTTCCAACAGTCGTTTTTTTTTTCTATAACCTTTACGCATTCATACAGTCCACTACTTTTAAATAAACATAGCGTTAACACAGTGGCATGGCATTTGAGTCGAGACCTAATTATTTCACGTTGAATACCATTTTATTCATGTACTGTGCACATAAAATTTTGATGTACAGCTTGACCAAATTCATCCTGTCCGCGAGCTTAAGATGCGCACTGGCAACGTTACCAGACTAGCACCGGAGCTCATTCTCTCTCTGAATCCACTGCCCTCTACTATTAAGCTCTTCTGTCTTTGTTCAAGCTGTACTATGCGTGCTGGAAATACAGGAAATATTCTTAAATTTGGACAACAAAACTCTCCTTCACTTCTGACCCGCCAGTATGTGATACCCTGCAGATGTTGACAAATTCAAAATAAACAAGCAACAGTCCTTTTTAGTACCTAAAATGTACCAGATATTTTCTTTTATTCAAAACACAAATATACTCAGTATAAAATTGAGTCTAATCGTATACTACGATAGTTGGACGATTTGGCGGAGCTTCCCATACGTTTGCAGCACACCACATTTTTTTAAACGTCACCACTACGCTGAACTGTAACGTTGCTCGCGGAGAACACAATTAGGAATTATCATAACAACTGTCGAAAGACTTGACGGCGCCGTTACCGGCGAACCTCGTCGTGGTCACGTTCCCACCGTCGCTGAGGCTCCTGTTCAACTCCCTCTTCCCACTAAATATCCCACTGACCACCCTGAAAGGACTTAAGGTGAAGTTACCTGCTATCCTCGAATCGTCCGACGGGCAGCCACTCCTAGGTTCGTACAAACTAAAACTAACAGTCTTGTCGTTCTCTCGATTCACGCCTGTCTCCACGAAGAAGAGTCCCCTGGACAACTGAGGCGAAGAGGTGGAGAGAGACCTCTCGTACTTCGCCGCGACTATCTGGTGTTTCTTCGTCTTGTCGGTCAGGCAAGACTCCAGTTCGCAATCCTCCAGGGCGTAGTCGTGATACGGCAGCGTTTCTTCCTCGTTGAAACCGTCGTCGGATTCGTCGCACACGGAGGTGCTGACCATGTACCCGGGGTTCAACTCGTTCACGGTTCTAGGCCGGTAAGGAGTGGCCGGTCTGATCATTAGGATTTTATCCTGACTACAAGACTCCAGGGACTTCAGCGACTCACTGGAGGAGTTGGAATGCTCAGAAATGTTCCAAATGGTCCGCTGTAGATCTCCGGCAACTACAGGCGTGGAATTATTCACTTTCTCCGGAGAGATCATCTTCACAGTGTAGTTCCTACCGGGATTGGTCAGATTGTAGTTGGGCTTCTTCCTCAACTGGATGTTGTACTGGCTGTAATTGTAGTTGTTCCTGTTGATCTGCTCGCAGTATCTCTCCTGGTCAAACAGGTTGCAAAAGAAGTTTTTCAGGGCCGCGCGGAAGTCGCGGAGGTGGTACGCGTACAACAGAGGATTGCCGGCGGAGTTCACATGCGAAAGGATGATGCAAAAGAGCATGAAAGTGGAATTAACCTCGAAGTCCGGCCTGAAGGCCAGGATACAGTTGATGGTGTACAGGGGGATCCAGCAGATCATGAAGAAGAGGACGATGATGGCCAGGTTCTGGGTAGCCTTCACCTCGTTGGTCTGCTGGACGCCCAGCATGCGGATCATGGTGCCGCCCGAGCAGCTGCCCTTCGTCGAGGAGCCCTTCTCCGGGTTCATAGTGACTATCTGCCTCAGCTGAAAACGATAATATAAAATTACAAAGAAATCTCATTTTTATGCCTCAAGAGATAAACACGTAAATATAAAATAAAAAAATAGTTATCAAAAGTATTTGAAATATGACAAAGTATATTTAACTTTGAAATTTGTATTAAAAAGAAAGACATCCTATAAAACCTGAAGAAAAATTAGAAAACACACAGAAACTTCAAAGACGTACATAATAGATTATTATTGCTACTACTACTTTACGAATTTAATGAATGATAAGAAGGAATGGTTAAAATTTTATGCACAAGATTGCCAAGATGGTGACGTCGACGATTCTCCATGTTGAGCCACTTGATCTCTATAATTTTGTGAGAAACACGATCAAATTTTCTTAATCCATGTATAAGTCGACAACGTGAATTTTGAACTTTTTGAATTCTATTTTTTCTTGTATACTAAGACATGGACCATAGACATAATCACAGTACTTAAAATAGGAAAGAACAAGTGACTCACATAACGTAATTTTAAGTCTTTTATTCAGAATATGACGACTACTATAAATTAACCTAAGCGAGGAATACAATTTTTGGAGTAATGTTTTCACATGCTAATTGAACCGCAAGTTACTGTCAAGAGTCACTCCCAGATTTTTTACATTGTCAGTGATAGGAATTGAAATACCAGCAATTATAATATTAAAGTTTAGTCTAAATATTTGTAACTTTTTCTTAGTACCAAAAAAAAATTATTTTTGATTTATAAGAATTTAATTGTAAATTATGTTCATCAGGTAATTGCCTTACAGTTTGTCAGAGCTGACAATATTGCGTGCTTGATCCAGAGCAATAATATCAAAGTGATGATGCAGTTGACTATCATCAGTATAAGCTTTTAATCTTGTAGTGTAAATTATAAAAAGTAAAGGACGCAAAATTGAACCCTGAGGTATATCAGAAAGTATTTCTAAACTATTAGATACAATGTTATTAAACACATACCTGTTGGATCTTCCATGTAAATAAGAATCAATAAGAGCAAAAGTCAGTTCATCAAACCCATAGTACTTAAGTTTAGAACAAAGAAGCTTATGATTAATTGTGTCAAAAGCTTTAGAGAAGTCCAATAAAACTAAAACACTAACTAGTTCCCTATCCTGTGCTTTAATTAAATCATCAGTGACGATAATTAGAACAGTTGAAGGACTATATCTTTTCCGGATGCCACATTGCCATTGAGGTGAGACTATTATTTACAAAAGAGTCATAAATTTGATTATATAATAATAATCTTTCAAAAATTTTGGAAAGCGCAGTTAATATATATATAT